GGGCTCCCTGCTCGGCGGGGAGTCTGCTTCTCCCTCTGACCCTCCCCCCTCTCATGTGCTCTCTCTCTCTCTCTCATTCTCTCTCTTTCAAATAAATAAATAAAATCTTTAAAAAAAATTTAAAAAAATAAACATGCTTGTTACTAATTTCTATGATTTAAGAAGAAAAATGAAAGGAGCATCAGCTTTTCTGCAAAGTATTCTTAAACTCAGGAGAGATTGTGGGTGAAGAAATGGGAACACATCCTTCAGAGCCAGAACTAGGATAAGGAGAGCAAGGTACTCAGGTATAACATTTAGGGAGGCCCTCATTGTCATGGTTGTGTGAGTACAGAGTCCGCACCTGCATGAACCTGAGAGTGAGCACCTCCTTAAATAGTGCACCCAGCTGCCTGGCTTGCCTCACCCTAGTCCCAGCCCTGGCATCCATAATAGTACTAGGCAACTTACACACTACATTGGCTCTTTCCTGCCCCAGGTACAAAGCCATCGTCCGGCCAATGGATATCCAGGCCTCTCACGCTCTGATGAAGATCTGCCTCAAAGCTGCATTGATCTGGATTATCTCCATGCTTTTGGCCATCCCAGAGGCTGTGTTTTCTGATCTACATCCCTTCCATGAGGAAAGCACCAACCAGACCTTCATTAGCTGTGCCCCATACCCACACTCTAATGAGCTGCACCCCAAAATTCACTCCATGGCTTCCTTCCTGGTCTTCTACATCATCCCACTGTCGATTATCTCTGTCTACTACTACTTCATTGCTAGAAATCTGATCCAGAGTGCTTACAATCTGCCTGTGGAAGGGAATATACATGTCAAGAAGCAGGTGGGTGCTTAGGATTGATTCATTTCCTCTTTAGGGCTTGGATCTCTTTTGCATGCCACTGGCAAGTACATTATTTAGGTGGTCACGTCACCTGATTCTGCAATTAGAGGAGGTGGGTGATGGTAAATGGCAACTCCTAACCACAGAAGCCCAGGAATTCAGGTGTTCTTTATAATCTTGTTCTCTTACTAAAGACCTAAGCTAGGGAGGTGTGGAGAATCTGAAAGATTTGAAGGATGGGTTTCTTTTTGAGAACTATCTGAAAAAGTATTGTTAACAAAATAAAATATTGAGATTCATAGGGATGTGACGTCTTTTTTTTTTTTTAAAGATTTTATTTATTTATTCATGAGAGACAGACAGAGAGAGAGGCAGAGGGAGAAGCAGGCTCCCAAGGAGCAGGGAGCCTGATGTGGGACTCGATCTCAGGACCCTGGGATCATGACCTGAGCCGAAGGCAGACGCTTAATCATCTGAGCCACCCAGGTGCCCGTGGGATGTGACGTCTTTAAACTCCAGTCACATTGTTTGGATAGGAAGAGAGTTACCACATGGGGACAAAGCAGAGGGAGCAGGAAAATAAGGCTGGTTGAAGAAACAGAAGTAGTTTGATTAAGACAGACTCACACTGATTTGGGTTCAAATCCAGACTTAATGACTAACTCACTCTCTCTGAACCTCAGTTCTGTTACCCATGATATAGGGTGATAACCCCACTATTGTAAGGCTGTGTGACGATTAAAAGACAGAGCATATGTGTGACCTAGAATGCCCAGAATGCGGAATGCCCTCCATATGTGTTAGACTCCCTCCGCCATCCCCCATAACGCTGCATAATTTCAAACTTCAGGTATGAATAGCAGAAACCAGGGGCTCCAGCTTTCTCCTCTTTGTCAGTGCTTGCTTTCTAATCCAAATGTAGATCATGTGGGATTTATGATGGAAAAAGCAGAAAGACTCCCCATCCGTTTAAAAGTACAGTTTACTCAGTTGGTGGCTTCACCCTATAAAGTTTTTTTTTCTTTTTGCCTCAATTACGAGAGTAGCAGTTCTCAGTGAAACGGTCTCCATATTTGAAAGACCTCTCAATAGCGAACATCCATTGTACCTCTAATTCTTTAATAAGAAAGATGTTTCCCCTTTGCAGAAGTGGCAGAGGGTGTTGGGAGCAAAAGGAGATGCTCAGTCCACTTTGTCTAAGGACCTTCCTGTATAGTATAGCCCAGAAATAACTTGAGATTAAAAAATAATAATAATAGGAAGTTATTTTGGTTTGGCCAGTGAGAAAGAACAAAGCTGGCTGCTTCTTTTGAGCATCAGAGGAAATAAGAAATGATTAACTGTGGAGCCAAGAAAGATGTGAAGTCATAGGGCTGATAAACTGCACCAGTGTTCTCCTGAGGAAAAAGAGGTCACTTACTAAAATTTCATTGTGCAAGCCATTCAAGCAGGTAATCAACTTTGTTTAAAGATCTGTTCTCAGTGGCACGTTCTAACTATATTCTACTTCATGGATTTCTGCTTCCTGGCTTTTCCATTTCTGTGTTTCTGACTTTCCCCCTTTTATGCCATCTGTTTCTGTTGCTTTCCTCCCGTTTTATCGGATTTTCTCTTGTCCTCTTTCTCCTGTTGAACTCTTTTTCTGTGGCTTTGTGAGCTCATCTATTTCCCCAATTCTTTTTCCCTGTTTTTCTTCGCTGTCTGAATCGTTGTCTCTCTGCATTCATCCCACACCGTCCCTTGGTCCCTCTGTCTCCATGTGTGTGACTCTCTCGTTAGATTGAATCCCGGAAGCGCCTTGCCAAGACAGTGCTGGTGTTCGTGGGCCTCTTTGCCTTCTGCTGGCTCCCCAACCACATCATCTACCTGTACCGCTCCTACCACTACTCTGAGGTAGACACCTCCATGCTCCACTTCATCACCAGCATCTGCGCCCGCCTCCTGGCCTTCACCAACTCCTGTGTGAACCCTTTCGCCCTCTACCTGCTGAGCAAGAGTTTCAGGAAACAATTCAACACCCAGCTCCTCTGTTGTCGGCCTGGCCTGATGACCCGCTCTCATAGCACTGGCAGAAGTACCACCTGCATGACCTCCTTCAAGAGCACCAACCCCTCTGTGGCCACCTTCAGCCTCATCAATGGAAACATCTGTCACGAAGGGTACGTCTAGGCTGCTCCTTGACCCTGTCACCCCAGGGGTCCCAGGTTTTGCTTTATGGCTAAAGAACCCTTACATCTGTTGTTGTCTCTATACCCTCCAAAGACCCTTTGGTAGGCTATGAGTTTGTAGGCAGGTTGCAGAGAAGCCCAAATGGATTGCTGTGATGTTTGAAAGGCGCATCAAGGCTTATGTTTTCCATTTCAACTTCTGAATGCTTCTTCTGATGTAGAGCCAACTCTCCCCTTTTTAGAAAAGGGAGTAAGAAATTATTCTTTGAAGCATCAAGTCCTGATATATGGCTATGGCCAATTAAGTCATAGAAACTCTATGAGCCACCAGATTTATATAGCTGAAAAATTATACATTAAATGTCCACTTTGTGAAAGACTTCACCTTGTCATTTCTTGAAGCAGAAACTAGCGCTTTAAAAATATGATTTGAATAATTTTTCAGGAATATTTATAATCACAAACCAAGGAACTGTTTTTTACACTCCTAACATGAAAGCCAACCCTATGAAAAAGTCCCATGTATGAGGGACCATTCCCAAATTGATAACACTGGAAGCCAGTTTAAAACAAATCCCTGAGTGTTGATTGTTTTTAAAAGATGTTACTGGGGACATAGGAGAAACACTCAACACATCATTTTAAGGCAAAAATACAACCAAACACATAGACGCACATACAAAGATCCATGTGAGGCTGTGGATTGATATCTCACACTCTGAATTCTAACTCAGTGGAGATCCTTTTTGCTGTTTCCCCATTTCAATCATCCATGGCATAGTTAGTTCTACCATAGAACAGAAATCCTTGTGGGAAAAAATTGATCATACTCTCAATTCATTATTTATAAGTACATAAAGTATAGTATTTATTTTTGGTATACAGATTTTCAGCCAAATGTATCTACTTACATTTGGCTGTCCTTGTCTGCTACATTGAAGCAGTAATTTCTTATGGAAAAAAAAAGGAGGGGGGAATCACATCTGAGTGGAAACAGAAACATGTTTACATTTAACACATTTAACATATGCTTACCTAAAGTCTGTGGGAGGAAATGAATAAAATTTCAGTAATATATATTTCTGTTTGAATATGTCTAAGTCATTTACAGGGGGCTTAGCTTTCAGAACGGATTGTAAAAGAGCTACAGATACATTAAGTTTCTAGTTAAGAATAGTATTTATGCAACAGCCATGTGTAGAAAAATACAGGACTGAAATCTTGTTATTTTTCTGAGTAAAGAGATTTGACGATCTTACTTTAGAAACCCTGAACCAAGTTTTTCTTTACTCCAGGATAGGCCGATTCTGACAGACTGCAAACATGTTAACCCACTTTCAGATAAACCCAGATTCTGCAAATGTGCCCTAAGGTGTATCCCTCACATCCAAAGACGATTTTAGTTCTGGTTTTCTCTGTCCCAGTGAGAAGGAACTGTCAGCTCTCTTTTCCACAGGGCCTGTATGAAAACACTTTCATCTCTCGATAAAAGGACGTGCTCACTGCCTGCAGAGCTTTAGAAGTTAGCACAGAGACCGTTGTAAAGACCTGTGTTTACAGCTGTATTAGCTGGAGTGAGACCTCTTCACTTCTGTCTGCTGCATGCACTTCTATACTGTACCCACCTGCTTTCCTGGTAGTCAGCCCATAATGACACTGGACAGTTTGAAAAGCAAGACAGGCAGTGTAGCTGAAAGGACCGAGATTTGTAGCTGGACATCCCAACTCTGTCTACCTATGAGTTTAGCTGTCAGCTTCCCTTCTCTCAACTCATTTTTTCATCTCTAGAAGGAGAGGACAGTACTAAAATCCCTCTATTGCGAAAATCCTTTGAGTCTTGTCATTGTTTCTAGTTCTGTCTCTAAAGCATTTACACAGCCCACCCGCTCACAGCTGCCCCACTTCTGCTACGTTTGCAACAACCCCTCTTGGGAGACCCTTCAACCCACCTTCTACAGTCCTGTTCACACTAGTGGAATGGAAGGAGACAGACACTGGAATAATTTGTATGAATCATGTCCCAGTAGCTTGTTATGTTTTGGAATTAAAGCTGAAAGACACATAAGAAAACATATTGCTCGATCTCCTCATTATACAAAGGGTACTTTTCCTGCTCACCTCCAACCTCCATGCACCTGTCGTCATGAACTACTACCCCACGATTTTACCCTTGGATTTCTTCAAAACTCTTTGAGTATGCAGTGACTTCGTACCTAGTTAGGGGCTGCAGTGTCTGGCATTCTGGGTACATAGTGTGACTTGCAGATCTCTGATCTACCTGCTTTCAAAGACATTTTGGGAGTAGGACTCGTCTTAATGTCTCCTTCAGGTAACATTGTGGCATAGATTGTGTCGGTCTCCTCCCTAGCTTCTGGACAAACGGTGAGGAGATTGAAGTCTAGGTCTAGCTGTGTGTCATGAGACCAATCTTATCACCTCTTTGGGACTCCTGAATGAAAGGGTTGGAGAAGGCCTCTGCCAGCCAGTGACCCAGGACTGGTAAAACTATTCTGTGAATCAGCTGATGGATGGACCCACACCTTCTTATTGGGATGGACTTTGCCGGGCCCTTCTCTAGGGAAGTCAACTTCTTATTCCACCTCAAGAACCTAGAATTACGGTGAGAGACACCCCAGCCCCCACGTGATATCACCTCCCTGTTAGGGCAGAGTGTGGCAGGGGCTGGAGCTAAGACATTTCACGCCTGGCTTTCAAAGATAATCAGGTTTAGCACTTATGTCTTTGGTGAGGGAAAAAAATCAATTTTTGCTGTGGAAAACCATCTGTGTTTATTCAATTGACAGACACTACCTTTCAGTCTATCTTAAATTGAGCCTCCCTGAGGCAGGCAGCTCAACAGTGATAGATGAAGCAATAAAGCAAGGCAGTCTTCCCACCAACGGCTTCTGCTGGCAGGGAAGGCACAGCTGCTGTGAGGAGCCATATTCTCCAGCAAGGTGGTCCTCCCTGCCTGGCGCAGATGAGGCCCCTCCCTGTTGGTGATCTGTTGGTTCCCCATAAATGTGGATGGCTAAACCCTGTTCTTCTGGCTGCCCTCACTCCCCCTCACTGAACCTGGCCTTCTGCCCCATTAATGAGCCCTGGATTTCCCTCTTTGCTACACAAACCATTTGGTTTTGGGTTCATCTTGAAGGATGGCAAACCCTTAAGTAGGGAAACAGTTTAGAGGCTGCTTCAGATGAACCAAACTCAGCTTGTTATGAAAATGCACACTGGACAGAAATAAATGAACTTGTCCATAGGATACGGGCACACTGAAGTTATAAAGTCTTGGTTTACGCCAAAAGTAGAGGTGGTTAGTGGTTTCAGAGTCTATTCATGTACCAAATGTCTTCTAGGAATAGAGAGTAGCTTTGTTTGGGAGCTACAAGTTGAATGACATCCTCAATCTGTGGACTAAAAGGTGGCTAAGTCACTTTCCCAAAAGCCAGATAGAAATGATCGCCCTGGGACCCTGACCATATGAGAGCTGAATGAATAGTACTCACTTCTGTGGTGGTGAGGTGGGGGATGGGGGGGGGGGGGGGGGGGGGTGGCAAACTTTCTTGCCATTTCTGCCCTTCACATCCAGGTCCCAGGGGAGCTGTTGTTAGAGGGTGGCTCTGAACTAACCCTGGGTTGCTGGGAGGACTAGAGCACATTTTGCACATTTGTCTAATGTTCAGCTGAATTTTCACAAAATGGATTAACAACTGAAAACAAAGAAATTATTCACTCTCCTGGGGCCAGGTTTTGTGTCAGCTATTCAAAGAAACAAAGCCCTAACAAGCTCTAGTTTATTCTGTATGTGACAGTCATTCCTCTTGGCTCCCACCTTGACAGTCCCCTCCAGCCCCCCACTGCCAACACAAACACAATAACTTTAGTATCAAACCACCTCTTATCATAACTTTGTCCTTCAAAGACACCCTTTTCTTAGGTACGGGCCAAGCATGAACTCCAGCTGAATATATACAGCGCAGTCAATAAATCTCACGCTGGGAACAGACTTTTCTTTTGTGAAACCGCACTAGAAATGCACTCAGTGGAATTTATCTAATTTTTTAAAAATTTAAGAGCCCCTGGGTTAAAATATTACATGTCCACGATTAATTAAAAAAATACTTTGCATTTACCTAGTGTTCATGGTCTATAAAACACTTTTACACTCATTGTCTCATCTAATCCAAGCCTTCCCTGCTGGCCAAAGAGCTGCTTAACAGTCTTTACTATGGAAATTTGTAAATGACATTTACTAGTGACCATCTATTAAAAGACCCACGGAACTATGAGGCTGAAGCATGCAACTACAGATGTTGACCCGTATTTGACCTCCAAAAGGGTGATTTCATATGGTCCACCGTAATCTGATCTCATTTATAGTCACGGCCATTCTGTGATATTGAAGAACAGTGCTGATCATGACTTTCCTAGTTTACAGGATAGCCTGTGCCTGCAAAGTTGAGTCTGTTTAACTTCGCCTATGGCAGGGAACCAAGTCATTGTTGGTTTCCCCAGAGAGGCCTATTAGCTGGAACAGGATTCCATGTCACACTGAAGTGGAAATCTAAGAGAAGAAGGGCGGGATCCTTGGGAGCAAAAACACAAGCCACAGAGCACACTGTGTTTGTGTGAAACCGCAATGGAGTTCTGTGGCTCCAGAAGCGCCGGAAAGGGAGGGGCTCGACGTCACCAAGCACCAATGATGTGCCAAATGCAGTGCTGAGCACATTTCTATTCTTCCTCACGAGTACCTTGAAAAGCATTCAGATGATGAAGCTGAGGCTCAGGGAGATCACTTCACCATCCCAAGGTCACACGGCACAGTGGAATGGCAGAGTATTAATGTGGACCTGGATCTCTCTTAAGACCCCGTCCATTCCACTGCTCAGCATGGCTTCCCAAATCCAGCCCATGTGAGAAATTAACTTCCCAGTAACTGATAGTCCCGTCCCTACTCTAGCTTTTGTCCAAAGGCATGAGCTACCGAGGAGGTTGAGGACTATACACAAAGGGCATGGAAGATGTTTCTAAGCACATAAGTTAAGGACTCGCTGCAGGCAGAGACTGAAATGTAGCACAGAGTAGGTGGGCAAGGAAGTCCCTTCATTCAGTTGCCCTCAGAGACACAATTCAGTTGCAACTGGAAGCCCTGGGAAGAATTTCCCACTTGGTTCTGTGACTAACCAAG